ATAAAAGAAAGGGTAGTGTTTTTCACTTTTGTTTCTCTCTACTCTTGCTTGTCTGCATACAAGCAGATTATAAAACCTAGCTTTTTTTTTATTTTAATTTTAAATGACAATGGGCCTTGTCCCTTATTTAATCCAAGCCCACCATAATTGGGCCGGACTCAACAAACTCCCCCTCCGGATCAAGTGGTGGGCTCCAACAAGCCCGCTCTTCGCCGACATACTTCAAGCTTCTCTTTCGGCAAAGTCTTCATCATCATGTCTGCACCATTCTCACTCGTGTGCACTTTTGCTAAGTGCAATTGTTTTGATTCGAGAACGTTTCGAATCAGTGATACCTCACTTCAATGTGTTTGGACCTCGAGTGAAATGACGAGTTCTTAGAGAGGTGGATAGCTCTCTGGCTATCACTGAATACAACATACTTCTCCTGGTGTAACCCCAATTCCTCTAGGAATTTTCTCATCCACAAAGCCTCTTTGCAACCTTCTGTAATCGCAATGTACTTAGCTTCTGTAGTAGATAACGCAACACACTTTTGCAGCTTAGACTGCCACGACACGGCTCCCCCTGCAAAAGTCATCAGAAATCCTGAAATGGACTTTCTGGAATCAATATCACCTGCCATATCAGAATCGGTATATCCAACTAGCATAGGATCACCACCACCGAAGCATAAACATGCTCTTGAGGTACCTCTGAGATATCTCAATATCCACTTGACGGCTTCCCAATGTTCTCTTCCAGGATTGGAGAGAAAACGACTAACTACTCCAACAGCATGAGCAATATCGGGCCTGGTGCACACCATGGCATACATCAAACTGCCAACCGCAGATGCATAAGGACTCGACTCATGTCTGCCTTGTCTCTTTCACTTGTAGGGCATTGCTCCGAATTGAGCTTAAAGTGACCTGCAAGTGAAGAGCTCACCACCCTTGCCTTGCTCATGTTAAACTTCTCAAGTACCTTATCGATGTAGTCTTCCTAGGAAAACCATAGTCTCCCATTCTTTCTATCACGAGAGATCTTCATACCGAGTATCTTTTT